GCAGTGACCCATGACATCGCAGCAACACATTTAGGATTAAGCTTGCTGCTTTATCAGTATTAAAGTATCAAGAATCTTCTTAAACTAATTGTTTTACAAAGTGTTCCTGTAAATCTAATCCGCGAGACATAATTATCGTTCTGCACAACAAAATGACGTGTGTGGTTTAAGGGTGACAGGTTGATCCGAGTTAAATTTGATCTTGAAGCTATTAGTTGTTGTTTTGAGTTACTCCCTCATAAAACAGTTTCTACCAAGAAGAAAGTGAAGGATATGTCGATGTGCTATCAACATTTACAAGGGCTTGAATCATAACCGCAAGGCAAAACCCACTACAATAATAAATTTCTAAAAACGGTGCCCATGATAAAAATGCTAGTTTCTCAGAAATTCAAAAAGAAATTTCCCTCCATTCAAAGCGCTATGAAAAAATAGGAAAAACTTTATTTCCTCAATAATTTTATGAACCACGACCACACAACTGCGGGGAACACATGCTGGAGGCGCAAGCGGTCTGCGACATCGGTGCTGCCTTCGCCACAACAATTAGGGTACAACGAGAGTGACGACGCTAACGCAATTCATAACAGCAAGTCGCCTCTTATTTCATGTTATAACTGTGACCCATGACATGGCAAAGATAGATGGATTACATAGATTCATAAAAGTAAAATAACATGCAATGCCAGCGGCAGATTAAGGGATCCAAATTGAAAAATACAAACAAACAAACAAATGAAATATCAGCTTTAGACTTCATTCGCGCACGTACATGTCGAGCTTTAATGTTTAGCTCTTTACCGCCTTCAGAGAGCTAATTTTCATTTTTCATTCAAAAAAATTTCCGTAAATATTTATAATTCTGTTTAATAGCACCTAATCGCGTTTTCATATGCCGACTGTAAAAAGCAATTAAAAGCAGGGTTAGCTTAAAATAACAAACACACAAGTAATCCTACTAAAAAAAAAAAAAAGGCTCAGAGTTGGTGCCAAGCGTTTTCTTTCTTTTCTTCCTTTTCTTTTCCCTTTTTTTCTTTACCTGACATTTACTCTGACATCAAGCTGTTGGTGCGAAACGTAGCCGTTAGGTACTACTCCAAGTTTTAGGGCACAAAGAGAACACAAAACGTGGAGATTGAGATTGTGATTATTGAAGCGGTGGAATGTGCACGAATCGAGTTCAGCTGTAAAAAATCTCCATATGAAATTGAACGGGTCTGCATTTTGTGGTTATACACTGACTGTAAGTTATGCCGAAACGGTAGCCGTAAAAGTAGAGAAAACATTTTCAGAAGCAGGCCATTACCAATATTAGAAAAACATTGAAAGACAGGAACTAGAAGTAGGATGAACACTCATACCTGACAAAATCAAGTTTTGGTCAATGGATATACGAAGTGCAATGGCACAATTTAAAGAAGTTTTCTTTGCGGGGCATTACCCAGGCTGTCTGCGTACTTAAAGGGAGAAGGTTTCTAAAGATACTGCGGCAAATTTAAGTTATCAACTTAAGTGATAACAAATTACCCTGTTTGAATACCTAACGGATTCCGACTTTTTTTTCGAAGTTCTTTCCTCGAGGTGGTTGAAGAAAGTCTACCTAAGGGACACTTTTTCTTCCTCAGACAAAACAAAAACAAAAAGCTGGGCTGTTTGTTTTGTCGTCTTAGTATATTATTCGATAACCTTCTTACTTTTGAGAAAAAAAAACAAAAAAACATGGGAACATTGCAAACTTTAGTTAGAAACGAAGACAACTGATGAAAAGTTGACCTTGTAGTTGATTAATCAAGAAGCAATAGCAGTTCTATTTTGCCCAATACCGGATGGCCAATAGCAATGCAGTAGCCATGATCGTCGTCAAGTAATCTGCTCTATTTGTTGTTTTGATGCTAAAACTGCACCTACCACGAGGTATGTAGAATATATCGTCATGGTATCAACATTGATAATCACCTGAAATACAACCGTACGCCGTTTGGCGTACAAATAAATTTATCGAAAAGGCGTCTAGTATAACAGTGCCTTCTTTTAGAAAAACAAAAGGAGAGTTCCCGTTATTCAAAGAGCTTTGAAACTAAAGAGAAAGCTCTATTTCTACAATTTGTTCACTTTAGAATTTGCGTTTAAATTTGACACAGACGGAAAATAACAAAANAAGGTTTCTAAAGATACTGCGGCAAATTTAAGTTATCAACTTAAGTGATAACAAATTACCCTGTTTGAATACCTAACGGATTCCGACTTTTTTTTCGAAGTTCTTTCCTCGAGGTGGTTGAAGAAAGTCTACCTAAGGGACACTTTTTCTTCCTCAGACAAAACAAAAACAAAAAGCTGGGCTGTTTGTTTTGTCGTCTTAGTATATTATTCGATAACCTTCTTACTTTTGAAAAAAAAAAAAAAAAACATGGGAACATTGCAAACTTTAGTTAGAAACGAAGACAACTGATGAAAAGTTGACCTTGTAGTTGATTAATCAAGAAGCAATAGCAGTTCTATTTTGCCCAATACCGGATGGCCAATAGCAATGCAGTAGCCATGATCGTCGTCAAGTAATCTGCTCTATTTGTTGTTTTGATGCTAAAACTGCACCTACCACGAGGTATGTAGAATATATCGTCATGGTATCAACATTGATAATCACCTGAAATACAACCGTACGCCGTTTGGCGTACAAATAAATTTATCGAAAAGGCGTCTAGTATAACAGTGCCTTCTTTTAGAAAAACAAAAGGAGAGTTCCCGTTATTCAAAGAGCTTTGAAACTAAAGAGAAAGCTCTATTTCTACAATTTGTTCACTTTAGAATTTGCGTTTAAATTTGACACAGACGGAAAATAACAAAACGAACACATACAAAAAAAAAAAAAACCATTTGACATCGTAGCAGCAGATAATTACTTAATATTGGTAACATAAAAGATGACATGAGCCGCTAAATAGCAGTTCATAATACAAAGCAGTCGTCTTGGATTGGCACTGCAGGATGTCATTGTTATTAATAGTTTCTGCTGTAGATTTGTACGAAAACACTGCTACGGTAGACGAAATTCAAGAAAAGAGACTAGCATTTCACCAAGACTCTAAATGCACCTATTCCTACGAGCTGGCAGTTCATACTGCTCGAGGCTCCAGGTCCATAGAGAGTGACGGTTTTCAAATTCATGCTCTGGTATGAGCTAAGGTTTTAAATTCATGTTCTGTAAGATCTAAAGATATAAACAGCTGGCAACTTTACTTACTAAGAATAATATTTCAAGTTAGCGTTGGCGTGCAAATTAGCAGCCACTCTTTCTCTCCAATCTTTTTCGATAAATTTGAAACAATTTTTGTTTCTTGGCGGTTTCCACGTCGCCCTACGAATTAAAGCAAGAGCAAGATCCCACTCCTTAGCCGTTGCGTTGCGTATTAGAGCTCAAGTTAAATCCAAAGGAAAAGATCGATACTCAACATGAGATAAAAAAGTACTCCTCAGAATTTTCTTATTCGTCAGATTTTAGTTTGTTTCTTTACAGAGACACTCGAAAAACTGAATGCTGCGCTAAGACTGTAAGGTACTTACCATACTGGCAACATGTTCCAGTATATCCCGCTCTGCAATTGCAGCCTGTACTGTGGGGTCGGCCATGATTTGCACAAAGCCCTACGTTACACGCCTTTGACTCTCTCAAATGATATGGACATTGTCCGCCACAGCTCTGAGCTTTCTTAACATAGCGCGTTTTCCATTGAACACCACCAGTACCACAAGGATAGGAACAACTACCATAATTTGACCAATGGCTGACTATGCAGTCGCGGGGAACACACGGTGGAGGTGGGGGAGGCCTGCGACGTCGACGACGACGACGTCTTCTCCAACAACAGGTTTCAGTAAATAGCGTAACAATGCAAAGCCACACTAGAAAAGTCGTTATTTTTGCCATCTTACGTACAAAATTTATCTTCCCTAGCCTTAAACAGTGCAAATGTTTTTTCTTTTTCCGCGTATATTACATTAAATTTTCAGACACAATGTTCGTTGAGTAGACTCTCCTTTTACCTCTTGACCTCCTTCGAGTACTTTGTTGCAAGCGTGATCACGTATTTCTTTGTCGCTGCACGCTAGCAGATTTTTTTTTGTAAAAGCTAAAAAGGTTACATCGTTACATAAAGGCACAATTACATGCAGAAGGAGCGGCGATTACTGGATGTAAATTGAAAAATATCAAAACAATTAAAAGAAGACTTCACTTGCGCACGTGCACGTAACCACTCCTTCGACAATGTTTACACTAACAAATTTTAATTTCAAAGTTCTTTCCAAGAGGCGTTTAAAGACAGCAAGTTTTTCCCCTCAGACAAAAACGAAAACAAAAAAGTTGGACTGTTTGTTTTGTTTCTTGTCTATACATTTCACCAACCTTTTCACTGCTCAAAACAGCCGTGGGACTATTCCACAATATAGTAAGACATGGATACAATTGTGGAAAAGTTGACCAAGGGGGCAATCATTCATTTTCATTTCGCATAATATGGTCGTAATACAAATAGCGATAGAACAGCAATTACGTTTGTCCCGACATCTGCCAAAATTTGTGCAAATCAAGTTTATAAATGTTCAAAGACCGCATGACCGCAAGTCATCACAATAAGCCGTAGATGACAAGTGTCAATTCAGTTCGAATGCTGATATAATTACGTGCGGGATTTACTTAGGTATCAAATCTTTTACTCCTTTGAACACGTTCTGTTCACTTCAACAACAGGGCAAAGAAAAGCAGGCGTCATGGAATGGCACTGCTGGATTGTCATGTTTCTGCAAGTTTCTGTTGTGGCTCTCCGTAAAAATGGCACAGCGTCTAAAGATCCGAGCGAAAAGCGACTCTCATTTCTCCAACACTCCAAATGCACTTATTCGTATGAGCTTGCAGTTCACACTGCACGAGGTTCTAAGTCCACAGAGAGTGACGGTTTGCAAGTTCACGCTTTAGTGAGTACTAAGAAAAAAGGCGATTTCTAAATTTATAATTCATTCCGAGACTCGTAGATTCCGCGTTGATCTCATAACTACCAGCCGAGTTAATATAGGTTAGCAGAGTACTAGGATCAAATTCTGTAACTTGGTGTAGATGATTAAAAGAGTAATGATGTAGTGTCCAGTAATTGTTAATCACACAGGCCAACAACATTTTAATGACTTTAGACAAAGTCTAGTCTCTTAATGAGTTAGTTCAAAGTCTACCGTAGAATAACCACTTTAATGACTTGCAGGTCGACATTACGGCCGTGTCACGTGAAAACGAGGCCGGATCACCTGTGCATCTTTACAAGTTGGACATCCGGGAGCCCAGACTGAGGCGCGTGCTTTATGGGCGTGTTCTTAACAACTACCCTGTTAACGAAGAGTTTGAAGAGCAGCTATCAAAGCCGTTTTACTTCCGACAGAAGGAACATGGTCCTGTGGTGGAAGTTTTGTTCCCAAAGAACAAAGAATCATCAGAGGTAGCAGCCTTCAAAAAAGGTTAGAAATTTGTGGCACTTTTTTGAGGTGAATAGCTGTAGTAGCCCACTTAAACATTTTGAGCTTCAAACACCACTGACCTACAAGGAAACTGAGCCGAGAGAAACTGACATTTCAAATGTTACACTGAAAGAAAATGGGCCATGAAAGAAACGTTTCACCGACTTGCTCAGCAAAGAAAGAAAACCAACGGACTTCTCGGAACACAGTGATCTCAACAGGATCACTTTCTTGTTGCAGAACTATTTACTAAGCAACCAATTTTCAAACAAGTCGTTCTCTAAAACAATTATATATATTCTACTTTCTTAAAACAAGTTTATTACTTATATGATTTGACCATTTGATAACTATAGTTCACACTCTTTGAAATCTGCAAACGCTAGGCTTACAACCTCTTATTTTGCCACTGACGTCTCTACTGTACGTCATAAAAGAAAATGGTTCATGTTAACACTACTCTCGCAGGGCTACCTAATAACTCATTTTCATATGCAATCTTTGCCATCCAATCACATGTACCAGCTGGTACAATAATTGTTCACTTGCACTTTCTTGCACTTCAAGCAATGGCTCCTGGTGATATTCCTCTGGGACCCTTTTGCTCTCCTTTCTTGGCCACTATGGTTACTTTGTTGGGTTTTGGTTTTAAAACGCCCCTAAGGGTTTAAAAACCGTACGAAAGATGGTCTAAAAAATATATTTGTCTGTGTTGTGTTACAATCCCAGAAGGCTTCTCACTTTGTTAACTCTTTACACCTCAAGCACAAGGTCAGTATGCATATCTTCACACTATTTTCTAGACCAGCAACTGAAAAGGAAAATTTGTTTTACAATCATGAACTTTTCTCAGTGGATGATCATTTCCTTTTTGCTTGTGACCTTAATGTTTCTCACTTTGTTAACTCTTTACACCTCAAGCACAAGCTCAGTATGCATATGTTTCACACTATTTTCTAGACCAGCAGCTGACAAGGAAAATTTGTACAATCTTGAGCTTTTCTCAGTTGATGATCATTTCCATTTTGCTTGTGACCTTAATGTTTCTCACTTTGTTAACTCTTTACACCTCAAGCACAAGGTCACTATGCATATTTTTCACACTACTTTCTAGACATTAGCTACTGATAAGCTGGAAAATTCTTTTTGCAATCACGAGACTTTCTCAGTTGATGATCATTTCCTTTTTGCTTGTGACCTTAATGTTTCTCACTTTGTTAACTCTTTACACCTCAAGCACAAGGTCACTATGCATATTTTTCACACTACTTTCTAGACATTAGCTACTGATAAGCTGGAAAATTCTTTTTGCAATCACGAGACTTTCTCAGTTGATGATCATTTCCTTTTTGCTTGTGACCTTAATGTTTCTCACTTTGTTAACTCTTTACACCTCAAGCACAAGGTCACTATGCATATTTTTCACACTACTTTCTAGACATTAGCTACTGATAAGCTGGAAAATTCTTTTTGCAATCACGAGACTTTCTCAGTTGATGATCATTTCCTTTTTGCTTGTGACCTTAATGTTTCTCACTTTGTTAACTCTTTACACCTCAAGCACAAGGTCACTATGCATATTTTTCACACTACTTTCTAGACATTAGCTACTGATAAGCTGGAAAATTCTTTTTGCAATCACGAGACTTTCTCAGTTGATGATCATTTCCTTTTTGCTTGTGACCTTAATGTTTCTCACTTTGTTAACTCTTTACACCTCAAGCACAAGGTCACTATGCATATTTTTCACACTACTTTCTAGACATTAGCTACTGATAAGCTGGAAAATTCTTTTTGCAATCACGAGACTTTCTCAGTTGATGATCATTTCCTTTTTGCTTGTGACCTTAATGTTTCTCACTTTGTTAACTCTTTACACCTCAAGCACAAGGTCACTATGCATATTTTTCACACTACTTTCTAGACATTAGCTACTGATAAGCTGGAAAATTCTTTTTGCAATCACGAGACTTTCTCAGTTGATGATCATTTCCTTTTTGCTTGTGACCTTAATGTTTCTCACTTTGTTAACTCTTTACACCTCAAGCACAAGGTCACTATGCATATTTTTCACACTACTTTCTAGACATTAGCTACTGATAAGCTGGAAAATTCTTTTTGCAATCACGAGACTTTCTCAGTTGATGATCATTTCCTTTTTGCTTGTGACCTTAATGTTTCTCACTTTGTTAACTCTTTACACCTCAAGCACAAGGTCACTATGCATATTTTTCACACTACTTTCTAGACATTAGCTACTGATAAGCTGGAAAATTCTTTTTGCAATCACGAGACTTTCTCAGTTGATGATCATTTCCTTTTTGCTTGTGACCTTAATGTTTCTCACTTTGTTAACTCTTTACACCTCAAGCACAAGGTCACTATGCATATTTTTCACACTACTTTCTAGACATTAGCTACTGATAAGCTGGAAAATTCTTTTTGCAATCACGAGACTTTCTCAGTTGATGATCATTTCCTTTTTGCTTGTGACCTTAATGTTTCTCACTTTGTTAACTCTTTACACCTCAAGCACAAGGTCACTATGCATATTTTTCACACTACTTTCTAGACATTAGCTACTGATAAGCTGGAAAATTCTTTTTGCAATCACGAGACTTTCTCAGTTGATGATCATTTCCTTTTTGCTTGTGACCTTAATGTTTCTCACTTTGTTAACTCTTTACACCTCAAGCACAAGGTCACTATGCATATTTTTCACACTACTTTCTAGACATTAGCTACTGATAAGCTGGAAAATTCTTTTTGCAATCACGAGACTTTCTCAGTTGATGATCATTTCCTTTTTGCTTGTGACCTTAATGTTTCTCACTTTGTTAACTCTTTACACCTCAAGCACAAGGTCACTATGCATATTTTTCACACTACTTTCTAGACATTAGCTACTGATAAGCTGGAAAATTCTTTTTGCAATCACGAGACTTTCTCAGTTGATGATCATTTCCTTTTTGCTTGTGACCTTAATGTTTCTCACTTTGTTAACTCTTTACACCTCAAGCACAAGGTCAGTATGCATATTTTCTACACTATTTTCTAGACATTAGGCGACTGATAAGGAAAATTTTTTTTACAATCATGAGCTTTTCTCTGTTGATGATCATTTCCATTTTGCTTGTGACCTTAATGTTTCTCACTTTGTTAACTCTTTACACCTCAAGCAGAAGGTCAGTATGCATATTTTCCACACTATTTTCTAGACATTAGCTACGGATAAGCGGGAAAATTCTTTTTACAATCATAGCGTTTCTCAGTTGATGATCATTTCCTTTTTGCTTGTGACCTTAATGTCTCTCACTTTGTTAACTCTTTACACCGCAAGCACAAGGTCAGTATGCATATTTTCCACACTATTTTCTAGACCAGCTACCGATAAGGAAAATTTGTTTTACAGTCATGAGCTTTTTTGAGTTGATGATTATTTCCTTTATCCTTGTGACTGTAATGTTTGATTCTGAAATGACTGGAAATTGGATGCTATTCACTCTTAGGAGAAAAGTGTAAGACTCTTTAAAAGGAATTTTACATCAGGTTTACC